TGTGTGTGTGTGTGTGTGTGTGTGTGTGTGTGTGTGTGTGTGTGTGTGAGAGAGAGAGAGAGAGAGAGAGAGAGAGAAAGCGGAGAGAGAGAGAGAGAGAGAGAGAGAGAGAGAGAGAGAGAGAGAGAGAGAGAGAGTAGTGGGTGTGTGCAAACACGGCCACCCCGTATATATGGGAAACAAGAACAACACATCTGTCATATCACGACAGGTTAGCAGCAACTTAAACATAGTGGGTGTTTTAGCCATCAACTCATTTATGAGGATGCAAGTGGGTTTGTCATTAAGGTTATGGGGGAGCAATTTAGTAATTAGAATTAGCAATTATGGTTAGTAATGGCTGTTGAGGACAACCATAGCGGGGGTGCACGCCCTAAAGCGCGCTTTTCACAGCCTAGCACCCATAGCAGCTCATCAGAGGGGTAAGTCATAATTAGGCTCCTGCTAGCGTAGGGGTGAATGAGAATTGACATCCGAGTATTGTAAGGATATACAACGCAGAGAGTTAGAGGTTACTACACACAGGATATCCATACCTGAGAGGTCATAGCTGGTAATGCAGTAGTATCCGTCGCCGCCATAGCTCACACGGCCAGGGTGAAGCGAGGGATCAGGCACTCCGTTGCGCAGGGCACAATGTGGGTGACACAAAAGTGTGCCTCACAAGCCACAACCACCGGGTTAGCTCGCCTGGTTGTGTACTCGTGCGAAGAGCACAAGGGTATGCCGAAGTAGCAGTGATGCGTGTGCAGAAGTCTTTACACGCACCAGAGAAGGCAGGTGGGTGTAAGAGGAAGGTAGTGTGAGGTCATGATGGAATCTAAATAGTAAAAAAAATGATAGGTTAGGGAAATGGGCCGAGTGGGAGATCATATTTGCAGAGCAACAGAAAAATTCCCACGAGAAATGAAAGTTGAAAAAACATTCCATAAAAAAAAAATTCTTCATATTTATAAATTATCATTCCAATGTTTGTCAAATTCTAAATTTTTCAGTTTTATTTGATAAGTTCCCGTCTAAATATGAGCTCTCCCTTCCAGCTACATCGATTTGTTCAAGACGGAATGAAAGTTTGGACGAGTTTATGAAATGTTGTAATTAAACTTTCATTCTACTACAACAAATATCTTCTAATTTAGATTGGATTAACCTATTTATGACTGAAAATCCTTACTTAGAATGACAGTCCAATTAAAATATTTCATGAACTCATCCAGACTTTCATTCCATCTCTAGCATGCAGTTCAAATAAGAAGGGATACCCCATTCTTGGAAGGAAAGTTCTCAAGTAAGACGGGAAATTTTAAAATTGGAATGACATTTTTTAAGATGGAATGAAAATTTAAAATTGAGAAAGTAATTTTACTATAGAATGAATATTTAATTCTGGGAAATTTTTCTGTTGAGGGTTTGTGAGGGCCGTATTTTGGTATGTAGCACGCCATGGAGACAGCGGGGGTTGGGACGGAGATGGCGGGGGGTAGCAGAGGGGTTACCTGAGTTTCTGCGTATGGGATTACGTGCTGGAGGATTTTGGTTTTTTTGTGTCTGGGTTTTGCTTTGTACAGGGGGGTGCGTACAGTCGCAGCCGAATTGTGTAGTGTGTACTGGAGGGTCTGTGCTTCTGTTTTGTGTTGCCTGCGGTGTCGTATCGTGGTCTGGCTATCTATGAATCTCCCTCGGAGGCGAACATGGGCGGCCGAGGCCGCAGGGCGCTGAGGCGGCCGATCGGGACAGCCCATTAGAAAGCGAAGGGCGGGGATAGTCTGCGCATAAGGGGCACTAGCCCCAGGAACCGAAAAAAATATATATATATGGTTTTTTGGGGGGGGTCACGTTCATTGGGCTTTGGGGGTGGATAAAAAAATCGTGGACCCCACTTTTGTTGAATTTGTGACAATGGGAGTGTGTAATAGGTGATGAGGTGCGTGTTCACCCAAAAAAAAAAAAATTACTATCCTCGGGGGGGGGGGTTGGGGGGATTAATTTTTCTTGGATGTTTTGAGTGTGTTAGGCCAGCGAATGGGGTGGGGTCCAAAATGGGTGGGTTGTTGGGGGCGTGGGGTGTGGGATTTCGGGTGCGGGGATTTGGGGGTCTTTGCTGTGCGCGGTTTTCGTGGTTTACAACTCGGGGTTGGGTGGTGGTTTTGGGTGGTGGTTGGAGGTGTGTTGTGGATGGGGGTTGGGTGGTGTACGCCCTGGCCGCGGATTGCAACGTGGCACTGCCACATGGCAACAAAATCTCTCTCTCTCTCTCTCTCTCTCTCTCTCTCTCTCTCTCTCTCTCTCTCTCTCTCTCTCTCCACCGAACAGTTGACGGCAACAACAACACAATTGTTCTTGCTGTTTCAGATACTTGGCCACCTTTATCTGACACAGCAACAGCTGTGTTGCTGCCTGCTGGCAGGGTTGTCGAGCCCCGGCCTCGGGGCCCCGGCGGGGGTCCCGGGGGTCCCGGGGGCCGGGGGTCGGCACCCCTGGCCCCGGCAAAAAAAGTAAAAAATAATAATAAAAAAAAAATCCAAAAATAAAAAATGAAAAATAAAAAAAAATAAAGGGGGATGCGTAGCCGCAGCTTGCACCCCCTGGGCCAAACTGCAATATTGCAGTTTTGGCCTTACCTCGGGCCCCCCCCGGCACTGCTCGCAATCTGTGTGTATGTTGCAACCTGCATCTGACCCAAATCTGGCCTGCAAAAAAACCTACGATTGTACTCAGCCCCAACTGCAAACAAATTTTCTGGCCAGCTGTCCAAACTGGATAGCTGGTTTTTGCAGATTTTCCAAACTGCAATTGACCCGGCCTGAGACCTGAAAAATTGCCCAACTGCAGCCAGCCGGACCAGGACCCACTTTAATGCCATTCTGGCCGCCCACACTAAAATAAAGTTGTAGGCCTCTCTGCAGCCAGCGGCAACGATCTTCTGCTCTGCCCGGGTACATTTTTTCTTTTTTTGTTTTGTTTTTTTTTTGAACTGAAAATTCAAATGAACATCGTTATTTAGAAGCAATTCGCGCACCAGCGTGGTACACCCCCTCCCCCCCTCTCTCTCCCTGAGGATGAACCCACCGTTCCTGTCCTGCCAGTTTGCCACCCGCTAGCTTACTGACCTTAGGGGCTTCACAATTTTGAGGTTTGCCTGCTATCTGCCCCAAGGACGTTTCCCACCCACACAGAGTCGATGTGACACACTCAAACATCTCACACGTAGCTGTCCG